AACGTTTTGAATGTGTTTCCTTCAACGTTTTACAAAACAATTAAATTGCAACAATAATGTATTTGTGTTTGTTTTTAGTCTGTAGCATTTGTATTTCGAGAATGTTTCAAACTCTTCTAAATTGTGAAACATAATGTGTTGATTCCATTAAAAAAAATATTTGCCCTGTGACTGAGCTCACTAATATTCATAATTGTAAATAAGTTCTGTTAATCAATGAAGGAAAGATATGTAAATCATATGCAAATTATTATGCAAATTAGCCCCGGCGCTATGCATTTTTTCTGGGGAGAACCCTGCTACTCTATGAATCATGTAATATTTGAATCCTGTCTGAAGTAAAATGTTCATCATTAGATAGTCACAAAACACGGAATTTAGGTTTAACCCTACAAGTGTAATAATAATTTGTTGGTGCAACATTTCACCAGTTTTTCATGCATTTTTCTATATAATTTTGGGCCAATGACTACATACTAGCATTTGATCAAGAGTTTGGTAATATTATGTCATTTAAAATTTGTGCTTCCCTTCAAAGGTTAATTTTGTCTGAAAAGTGAAGTATAATTGATAACACAGTTATTACTTACCATGTATATATCTGTAATTCATTTGCAGGCACATTCCCCCTAGCATATTCTCCTAGTCTATGATGGTTATTATGACTACAGAAAACTCTCAGCAAAAGAGGGCATGTCTGAAAAATTAAAGTAAAGCATAGTCTAAAATAAAATTTCATGGACATAATGCAGCAAATACTTTTATTTTAACACAATGCAAGGCATAAACACAGTACATCCCTGGAGGTTGATTGACACCTGTGCAAGTAGACATGTATGGCCCACTGACACAACACGCTTCTATTACATTTCAGGTTCGGTTAGGGTTCAAATGCACATTTGTAAGTTTGTTGGAAGGTGTTTTTATGGTGAGTTGTGTAATGAATTAGGAAAAAAAATGTAGCAGTTTATGTCATCAAACAAAACAGTAGTTTTAACGTTGTATCATTAAATAACAATTAAACTGGTTCTTTATACGTTGAGTTTTTGATTGCAGGGTAATACATTTCAGTTTTGGATACTTGTAGTTTGTTAGAAGATGTTTCCATGGCGAGTTGCATGTATCAATTAGTTAGTCAGAATATAATGGTAATTTATGTAGACAGATAGTTCAGCTATTTTCACTAATAGTGATAAATAAAATTTTCTAAATTAAATCCAAATTAAAGTTTGTGAACTTTAATAACCACTGAAATTGCTCAAAATATTACCATTGTTTTTAATTGCCTGTGCTAGTGATAGATTTCTCTACATGGTGATTAATTTTTGTATCATTCAGAATGCACTCATTACCATTTCAATTCTTGTGAGTGTTTTGACACTAGGGGAAAGTGTACACTGATCTTGCATTGTGCTAAAAGTGTAAGTGCTAATTTGCTGTGTTATTTTCATGAATTTTCAAAATGCCCGACAAAAACAATGTTTTAATTAAGCTGTACCTTTGTTGCGCAAGTACTAGATATGAACATTACTGTACTATCATTTATACCAGGGCCGTAACGTCTATTATTTATTGGGGCCGGAAGGAAGCAGTGTCGAAACATCTAGAAATGGTGCTATTTGGTGAAGCCATATGCCGAACTCGGGCAAGAAAAATACACCTACGAAAGGAAAGTTGTTAATTTCTGCATTTCACAACTTGTTTATGTTCTAGGAAATCTATAACGTACACTTTAGGATGAAAGAGACGAGAAATTCATCGGTTACAGCACAGCGTCACTATTATGGGTGAACAAATTACGCTGGAGAACTTCATCGTCAGTATGTGCTGTTGTTTATGGTTTGTGTCTGTGCATTCTGTTGCACGTTGAGGTCCAGGTCAATAGTTTTGTATGTTAAGATATTCTTTAGCGGGTACACGAACCACTCCGTAAAAAAATACACATTTGTTTATCAACCACTGCCGTGTATAGTCACCGTCCCTCAACACCGAGTGTACTGTATTACCCGTTTTTTTCACAAATGAAAAACGCAAATGGACATGTGCTTCGTCAAGTCGATGATACTGGGGGAACTAAAAAGCTGAACGACAACAGATAATACCAGTCTGTTCGCTGCCATTTGTTGTATCTAGTATCTTAGCAATATCGCCTTACCTTTTCTCTGTCTACAGGTTTTATTGGTTCTTTCTGGCTGTTGTCGACTTCCAAAACCCGAGACTCAATCGCCGCCATGTTGAAATGCGCTAAATAAATGCGCAACAAATTTTAATCACAAAGGTCAAAGGTGAACGATCGAATATTAGGAACGAAACACTTTATTACGAGGGGTGTCAGCATGGGCTACGGGCTACCCATTTGTAATTTGTAGGCTATAGAAAATGGTATGAAAAGGAATATTTTTTACACAATCATTTCAGCAGTTTGTCTTTTTTCAGAGCGCTAGAAGGAATATTTGTTTACCAGCAAACTTTTTTCACCAAAAGTGGATTGAGCAAACGTTTTTACCAAAAAAAATTGTTTGTTGTTTAGCTATCAAGCTACCTCGAATAGTTGTAGTGTTAATCACGTGACAGCCAACATGTTTCAGTGTAACACCCGTCCTCAGAGTGAAATTCGTGAAGGTGATGTAATTTCATAGATGCCCACATGCCCAACCTTTCAAAATAGTTACATGTCAATATTTCCTTCAGAAGTTTTGTACTAAACAGGTGCAGTCAACGAAGCTGTTCGTGCAAAAAGGTGTTCGCGAACGTTTTTCTGTGGGCAGGCAAAATTTAATTTAATCAGTGGGAGGGAGAAAAATTTGACTTAATATTGTGGGGAGTGGGTGTGGGTAATGCATTTTTGGAAGTGGGCAGGCAGAATTGTTAACATATGGTGGGCAGAAAATTATAACTATCAGTGGGTAAAGAGGAACTTGTGGTTACAATATCGGGAGGGAGAATATAGAGATAATACCCATAGAATACCGATGAATCGTCAGGTTGCCAGATTGGGTCAAGCAAGGTCAGTTGTGTCTTTGATATGATGAACGCCACCAAACAGCGAAGAGTTCAATGCGACGAAGAAGCCGACAGGATATCATTCGTCCATCAGTGATCAATCGAGTTTTATGTTTGTTGATATTAGTTTCTTTTGTTGATAAATCAACGTCTTCCCTTATATGGGAAACATGTGGGTGTGGGCACGCCAATTTGACAACATTATGATTAGATGTTGACAAAAAGTAATTAAATTCAAAATAATAATTAGCAAAAACAAAACAAATCCCGCACACTACTTGAGGTTTAATGAAATATGCTGATTCATGGCTGAGGTATGATTGAGTATGGTTTGAATCTACACATAAAACATCAAGTTGAAGAATTAACTGCATGTAGGATTTAAGTAGATTGAACAGGTGGGGAGAGGGCTCTGAAGACCACTACCCAGTGGGAGGGCATTTTTTGCAGGCACTAGTGGGAGGGAAGGTAGTGAGAGGGGGTGATGGGTGGGGAGAGGGCAGCGGGAACCAAGATGCAGTGGGAGGGCATTTTTTTTTGACGTTAGTGGAAGGGGAATTACGAACAGCTTAACCCCTCCCCTCCAAATTTAAAAACGTGTCAAATATCGATAAAAAGTATGTACATGATGGACAATTATTAATAATGACGGTTTTGGAAAATTTGGCCGTTGGCTGCACCTGACTAAACCGCGACTCCAGGTGCGTAAAAGGAGAGATGGCGATCAGATTTAAATCGCACTCCATGGTAATATATACTTTGTCTGATTTATTGCCCTTTTTGATAAGCAGAATGCATTTTTAGTGTTCTGTTGTATGCAATCATGAATAGTTATAGAATAGTTAGTTCACTTTTTGGGCAAGATATAAAGGGCGGTGATCGTCGCGCTGCGCATGTGCGACATTTGTGTTGATAAAAATTGATTTTCCCACAATCTAATGGGCTCTTCTGATGGAAATCACAAGTATGAGGTTTGAACTTGGTGCGACTTGCAACATTACCACCGGTTACTCCTTCGATACCTTCCAATCACATTAAAATATACCTAATTAAAGCTTGGTAAACTTCAGTTTGCACTCATTGATCTGAGCAACAGTAGAAGTCGCCATCTCTGTTTACTAGTACTATGCGACATAATATATCTCGCGCATGTGTGGCGCGACGACTACGTATATAAATACGACTATATTTCTCGCCCTAAAATGTCTTTTTTTTGAAAATTTAAGCCGAAAAAGTGTATAAGTAAATAACAAAAAAAATTACAAAATTATGCAAATGTTTAGGTTCAGCAAAGTAAGTTTATTCTTACAAGAACAGTTTAAACAAAGAATGCTTAAATTTTATATGAATGTATGAGCAAGGGTATTTTGTTTGGTGTGGTATACCAGGCCTGGTAAGCTGAAAACAATTCGCTTAATTTATGTTATGTGTAGAATGTTCCATCAAATGGCGAGGCGTGTGTTCAATGATGGAATTACCTCTCCGTCTTCCGCAAGTTAGCGTGACCCAGCACTCTGAAACGAGACTATACATGCCAATTTGAAGTCACCTGTATGCAGACTGATATTTGACGTCATTCGCGTTTTATTTCTGCGAAAAAAATTAACCTAAGTTTCCGATCTCCTATGAGTGACCAAAACACATGCATATACTGGAAAAATTAACTATATAGTTGACTTTATGGAAACAGAATTACTGTAGTTGTTCGTTTTTTGTTTTTGTTTTTGTGTGTGTGTGAAAATGAATGATACAAACATAAATTATGACTACCGTAGTTTATTGTAGCATTGAACACACCGTAACGATACAAGAATCCTGCATTATGACTGTAATAGTCCTTCTAAATATTTCATAACATATGTGTCCCAAGGATGTAAAAATATGATTATATGAATAAATTGACATATGATAAACTAGAGTTAACCCCAGTCATGTGACCCCGTCAAAATACAAGACCCTACTCCTAATATGTACACTCTATACTCTTGTTATCCCAGCTTATTCCGACAACCAGTAAGTCTAGGAAACAATTGACGGAAACATAAATTTAGTAAGGAAAGGGCTGCAGCTGATGGTGGGGGGGGGGGTAACTAGTAAAAACAATACCAACTGATATACCTCATATCTAAAGGGTCTATGAATTAAGTTTCAAAATGGGGCAAGGGGTCTCCTTTTTACATAGGTCGAGGGGTTCCTTTTAGACAAAATCAAAGAGGTTGTATTTTTATCCTGTGTTCATATACTAGTAATGTCTAATATATGACAATGATAGGTCAATTTTACCATGATTTCAGCTGCAAGAAAATGTTTATACTACTTCAAAGAGTGAGGTTTTCTTGAGAGTTTCTTTCAAGGGGTGAGTTTTCTTGGAAAGGGTTGCTTAAAGGGATGGGGGTTTTGAGCAATTTAGCCTCCAATATCATGGGTTTCACTAAAAATAATTCAAGTGTTCTTCACACAGCTCTGCTACATCATTCCCTGACCACGTGAAGCACTAATTAACTTTCATTGGACGTTATGCTACACATATCGTATCATATTTCAGATAGTGGTGTCATCATCTGGTTCGAAACTTCACCGTGTTGCACTCGTCATCATCACAAGATGGCGACGTAGCAGAGAATTAATATAGGTAATTGTACGGGTTCGAGTAGATTTACAATTCTAAACTTCACTGTTGTGGGTAGAATGTTGTAAACTTCACGAGGCCGAAGGGGTTCTACCCACAACAGTGAAGTTTAGAATTGTAAACCTACGAGAACGTCTTTTTTGTTGTACGAGAAGTTTTTTGTAATATGCACAAGAATTGCGAGCTTGAAATGCTGACTCTTTTGTTATTTGTTAAAGTATAACTGATTAAATTTTATGTTGTTTCGAGGTTACAGCAGCCACTTCGATGAGCAACTTATCAAAGAACGCACCGGGCACCGCTCTGATGGTGGTCTGCGCACAAACAAGCGAACCAGCACTTCCCTGCAGAAAACAGTGTCTGATGTTCTGCGACCGCCAAATCCAGTGGTTGAACTTGGCGTCAAGGACCAAAAAGAACGCGTGTCATCACCTCATCGTACGCAACCAATAGCGACCACCATTCAAAGTGAATCTAGAGTTTCCTTTCAAAGCGTTTCTATTCAAAATCAACATGGCGATAAAAAAGTAAATATTGTGTTGTAATTTTGTACTGATGAATTCATTAAAAGCAGGTGCTTTAAAGCACCTTCTATCTGTCTTGAATATTTTATTGAGTGACGTGGTGTTACGTATCATATGTAAATTAGTAAACCTTCACGGTTACATTGATATTCAAATTAGTAAACCTTACAGTTTTATTCATATGTTAAATGAGTCTATTCATAAAACTGTAAGATTCACTAATTTGAATATCAATGTAACCGCGAAGGTTTACTAATCTGCATAAGAACCAATAGATGTTACAATAATAAATGAACGCTGAGAACAATGGTACACGTGACCTAGAGTGGTATAAATTGGAAAACGTCGCCCACATTTACCCGGAGAGCCTTGCGTTGACCTAACGTGCACCTACAGCTAATGAAAACAATATTATAAATGTGGAGTAATAATGAGTACTCATAAAAACAATTCATTTTTCTACCACCACTTAGCCTTGTAGTCGAGTATATAAGCTCACTTGTTTTTGATTTCCGTTGGCGAAAGAAGTTTACTTCTTTCCAATGGGCTATTCTGAAGTCGACTTAGTCTGCCGTGAATATTATCCAATGTCGAATTCTTGTATCCCTCCATCAGGTTTAATTCAGGAACGAAATAATGAGGAAGGCTTTTTTCCCGTGAATACTTTGCCAGACTTCCCAGCATTCCCAAAAATCGTTGATCGAGCTTATTTTTGTCCCAGTCTTTCACAATATCGCATTCGTGAAGAAGCGCCGTTTTTAAATGATATGAAGTCAAAGCTCGCAGGGTAGGGTCTTCGTTGCGAATACTTTTCAGAATTCTGCAACAGTCCTTCCTGCACCCACCGTCCCCGTCGATCTTTTTCAAAATTGCTCTCTCTGACTTGGAAAAAGACTGTCTCCATAACAACTGACTGTCGCATGGCAACGGTGTATGTATCTCCGCGTATGATTTGTACGGTTTAGCAACATAATGTGCATCCTCGCGTATTCGCAAAGTGGGCACCAAGTCAACCGAAATGTCGCATGCAAGACCAGTACTTCTGGGCGGCGTGAGGTCAACTTGTACAGCCGGTCCGTGGGCAGAAATTTTAAGCTTGATCCCATCATCTTCTTGCCCCGTGTTTGACCATTTGTGGACCATGCTGAAAAAATTTTTCTGTCTAAACTGGACACCTGACATGTAACCGTCATCAGTAACATACTTCTTGAATCTGAAGTCGTCTTTTTTGATAGGTTGCATGAGTGCATACCCGGGTACGACTGGTATGGGTTCAATGTCGCTTTTGCCATTCAACGCTACCATAACGTCGAATTCATCAGCTTGTCCAACTTTGAGTCCATCGTACGCGCTCCCCTGGTAATCGAAACTACAAAAAGCTTTGTCATTTTCTTTTAAAAATTTAAGCAAATTCTCAATTTTAGCATGAACTAAATTTCTTGCTTTTTCTTGCTCAGTTCGTGGTATGGACACTTTACTTGATGAATAACGCCTTAAAGATGTTAGTAGAGAAGCGCCCCCTGGCGACGACGAAGATTTTCCGCGGCCAGATACAGTTTTCCATCCGCCGCCTGTGTCCTTAGAACCTGCCGCCATACCCTCCTTGTCCTGTTATGGTCAATAAACGCAGTCTCTGAGAGAGAAAAACATATACAGTGGATTGAAAGAATTATATCATGAACGTATACGGCCACGTGGAGCCTGAGTGTGGGGAATAGGAGAGTCTGTGCATAAGTGTTCCAGGTTTGGGGAAGGGTCTATTTAATGTCCAAAATTGTTAACAAGTGCACATGTACAAGTTTTTGTTTATTCAGGGTACACATGGTACAGAATTTACACATGGTACAAAATACAACTGTACCATACATAATCCCTTCACTTAACCCTAAGCTTCACAAACATGTCATATGTTAATTCACAGAATGTATGATGTTATTTCTACTTTGTTGCGTTTTCATTTATTTAAATTTGAATTAAAATGCAATATAATATACACTAGTGTAAATTGTAATTTAATTGAGTTTAATCAAACTTCAATTAAATCGCAACCGTGTATCTAAACATAACGCAACTACATTAAAAGTTAATTCAACTATATTAAAACTTAATCGGATAGATTCCTCGGAACATATAGCAATACAAGTATGTGTGCTTATCTTGGAGTTAACTAATGATACACTGAGTAAGTGTTACTTTATTGTTATTCATAACAACAGGTGAACAGCTTAAAAACACGAATTTCAAAATGCACCTTTTTCTTTGAAATCAAAAATTGGCTCTAATCATAATTCCAACAATACACATTTTCTCTCGCATTTTGATGAACTTGTCAGACAATGTATGTGCTTTGGGTGCCAAGCAAAGCCTGAGGACATTCACGAATGTACAACATTCCTACTCGGGATCAACATTCCCCGTGTTTAGCCAGCTTCCTATTTCTGGTAGCAAAAATATATATTTATTTGTGTAGACATAAAAAACAAAAACCGGAGTTCATGGCATACAAAATATATGTAAACTATTTTCTAGAAGTATTTCTTTGCTGTCCGACGGAATTGTCTGACTTCTCATAATTAATAAAAAATAAAACATTTTTTTGAATAATGTTTCCCTCTGTTTCGCAATATGCAGATTAAATGCATTTTGTATTGTACAAACCAGGTAAGATGTTGTTAATTTCAGTGGGAACTGAAATAAAATTAATTAAGTCACCAAGTCCCTCAGGGGGTTTGTAGATTTCTGTCAGGCGTCTTTCAAAATACATCCATAATAGGAATTTATAATGAGCTTGATAGGTACCCCTTAATGTATTCATTAAAAAGAGTATCACATATTTTAAAGACTCTACAAACTCACTGTTAATAGAAGCTTTTATGGTTAATATTATAAATACATTAGCAGCCAATGATATCAGAAAGTAACTGATTTGCTGAATAGCACCAAGAAAAGCCACTCAGAACATTTGAACCAACAATCTTGTAAGCCTGTCTTACAAACTAGAAAAATACAGATTTACGGGTCTGTCTCTCCAAATTTTGACTGAGTGACCACACTTGAAAAATTGGAAGTTTGGAGTCACAAAAGAATCTCTCTGAATGTCAGAATCTGTGACGTGTCAGGCGGAAGTTGAAACCCATTTGCTCACCCATCAAATGCAATAAAAACCAGGATCTCAGAAAAGAACTATTCAGTCAAGTGTGTGTGTGTGTGTGTGGTGTGTGT